TCCCTTTTTTCCCTCATTTATTTTTAAAATTCCACCTCCCCAAAAGCAAATGATTCAGTCTGATACAGAAATTATACCTCCTACAATAAAGAGATGAGAAATTCAAAGAATGATCTCATATTTATAGGTTATTACTATATTATTTATAGGTTATTACAGCTTCCCAAATTACATGCATGCCCTGAGTCATACTTTTGATAAAATGTTGAGCAGCTTCTTCTGGTCTGTCTTAAACTCTGCTAAACCTACGCTCAATGATACTAAGCAAGCATTAAGCTAGTATTGATTCAGATGGAAACGCAGCAGAAACAGCTCATTACATTCCCAAAAATAAAAGAGAGGCTGTACATTTACCAAAAAATCCAACACCTTTCAATCCCCCTCTCCTTGCATAACTGTACAAGAAATGCTGCTCTTCTAGAGGATGGCTACAGAAAATGTTGCAGCATCAACCCAACCAGACTCCAAAAACCGGTCTCCAAGCAGCTGTAGAAACAAAGGAATGAAATAAGAGTCTAGAAGCTCTATCTTGTTGAAATTTGCATGCAGCTCTAAACAAGGCTAAGAACCAAAGCTGTAGTAAAGGGCACTGGAACAAAACAATTCCAAGGGCAGTTTGTCCTGCAGATGTGGAAAGAAGGATAAAAAAAATAACTGAGCCTAGAAAAGCTGGATGCTGACAGGGCCAGGAATTTACCTTTGAGCACCAGGGATTTCAGGTGCTTCAGATGAGGAAGGATGCCCAGTGTGGTGCCAAGGACGCGATCATTGCTGCTGAGCCGGAGAAACTCTACCTGGACCACCTCTCCCCGTCGCCCCTTGAACAGTTGAAGGAACCGGCAGCAGCCGTCAGGATAAACATCCAGGTTCAGCCTGTTGTCTGCAAGGCAGGAGCCAGCAAGTGCAGTAGCCCCCTCCCTGCACTCGTCCCCGAGCCCCAGCAGCTCTGCCATCTTCTGCGTCTTGTCCACGGGCTCCGGACATGCTCTGACTTGCCAGGCAGGCAGGCACTGGCAGCACCACGAGGCAGCCGGGACAAGGAAGAGGAGGAAAGATGGCTCTGAAAGAGAACACAAGTGCATGATGAAGGCCTCCTGCCCCAACCCAGCATGGCTGGAAACAGTTTATAATCACAGCAAGAGGGCAGGAGAGATTACACGTGTGTTACTGATAGCTTTGTGGGCAGACAGCACGGAAATGCAGGGTGACGGATGCCACGGAGGCTTCTCCTCCAAGGGAAAACCTGAGTTTTTCCAGCTGACATCTTGGCGGGGAATGGAGCAATTACCCATCATCAGAAAAAATAGTAATATTAACTTTGAAAGAGATAAATGTAAACGCCTATGCTTTATATGGATTTCAAAGTGCCTTAGCAGGAAGATTTACAAGCAGAGGGGGAAACCAGGACAGGGAGAGCTGAGCCAGGAGCAGAGCCCAGAGGCTGCTTACAGGCTGTAATGGGTCCTCATCGAACCCAGTTGTGAAACTGGGTGCCAACGGGATAAAAGTGAGCATAGATGAAAACGGGCAAAGGGCAGCAGAGTAAACGTTGAAGGGCTAGGGAGGGGGTTAGAAAAGGCACATCCATGGCACAGAAGCACTGGACTGCATAGTGGGACTGGAGGTCTTGCAGATTTGCCTCCACAGGGATGCTCTAACGCAGCAAACCAGGCACAGAGCCATGGCTGGCTAGTTACCAGCTAGTCCTTGTTTCCTCCCCTCACAGCACCCTCCACAGATAAAGAGAAAGGGGGAAAGTAGATATCACACAGTGCACACTAAGAAGGATTTAAACCTAAAGGAGCAGAGGTGTGAAATTTATTAACTATTGCTCTGCTTTCTTAGTGTGAAAAAGCCTTCATTCACCTAGGACTTTCAAAATCAGCCACTATCATCCTAGCACACTGGTAGTGCAAAGATGAGCAGAGGCACCACACTGGTTTTTATACCAGTAGTCACATACTTCCAAGTCCCCCATTTCCTGTTCTTTCCACTTCCTTTATCATTTGCTACTCCTCCTGAGCTTGGCAATTAAACTACCTCAGAGTGTGACTATCAGGAGTTCTTTTTAAACCCAGTCATGGATGGACTAGGCAAATAGAAGTTTCTTTTGAATGAGTGATGCAGAACTACAAAATACTTGTAACAGCTTTAACGTCCAAGGTCAGCAGAAGCAAGCTAACGCCCCTGAAACACCCTGAGGAGCAGTGCTTTTTACTATTAACCTGTGGGACATGGCAGCACTGATGTTCCCAAGGCACAGTCTGAGGGGAGACATCACACCTGGCTCCCTGGAAGAGCAGAAACCTTTAGGACACATAAGGACAGGAAGAACAGGTAAATGGAAACTACTGCTTTAGTAAAAAGGTAAGTATTTCTTACAAAAAGGCTGTACATAACACACACAGAGCTCTCTTACAAATACGCGTAAGCAAAAAGACCATCTGCTATAGCTTTGTAAGGCTATTGATGGTGAAGGAATTAGAGGGCAGCTCTGAACTGGCCTGGCTGGAGAGGCTCGGAGACCATAAACACAGCTTCAGGCATGCATACAGGACACAGGCAGGCACCCTTGTGCCCGGGCACACTGGTATGCAAACGTACATATACACAATGTGCACACGCGTGCGCACACACACACACTCGCCCCGGACTGTCCTCACCTACCCAGCGGCCAGCTCCAGCAGCCCCAGGCCCCTGTTATCCCAGACCCCACAGGGCCCCTGAGCCAAGGCTCAGCCTCCAGGGACCCCCTTCCGGGAGGACTTAGAGCTGAGCAGCCAAGCCACCCACTCCGTGCCCCGCTGAGCACAGCCACGCTTTTCTCACCCCCTCCACACCTGGCCTCTGGCACACAAAACCTGGGTCCCGAAGCCTGGCCGTGCGCGGTTTGGCTCGGCTCAGCCCTGCACAGCTTGGCTCAGCTCAGGCACTTCCTGCAAAGTTTGCAGGCGAGCTACGCTGCCGGGGCGGGACAAGCCGGAGGAGGTGCCAGATGCAGCAGGACAAGGGGCAGGCGGCTCTGGGGAACCAGGCCCAGGCGTCCCACTGTCACGAAAATGTGACAAAATGAAGATTTTCCTAACACCACTACAGCCTCAGCACCCCAGCTGGTCCCACTGCAGTGACCCTGGGCTCAAACAGGAGCTCAGCCTGCAGGCAATTAGGAGGCACGGGCCGCTCCGGGTGTTGTGCTCATTCAATGCAAATTCAGGGAGAGAAATGTAGCAAGAGCTGGGGCTGCAAGCCCGGAAGGGCACAGGACTGGGTGCTGCAGAGCCTGCCCTGGGTCTGCCCAGAGCCATGGGGCTCTGCCATGGCTGGGCCTTTGATGCCCTGTGCGCTCTGGGAAGGCGCCTGCCTTCAGCTAGCTGTCTTGCAGCAAGGGATGCCATTTGGTCTAAGACCGCGTCCTGGCGAGGCCCCCCATTGCATTTGTGCTGCTCTCCATTTTGCTCAGAGGAGCAAAGCCATGTTTTTCTGTGAGTTTCCGGCTGGTGCCCCGATGCTGCGATACAGCAGTGATGGTGTGTTAATGCCCTGGCACAAGTGCCCCTTGCTCAAATTTTTCTTCCCCGCAGGGAGTAAACACTAACTGCTGACTGCATTGCTGAAGAACTTCCTCAGTTATAAAACTGGCAGCACCAGAGCTACCAAAGAAATGTAGAATGCCCTCACCCACACATGGGGGAGCCTCCAAGGAAGCAAAGCAGGGACAGAAAAAGCCTCCTCACAGCCCTGCAGCCGCAGTGATTCAAGTTTCTTCAAGTCCAGTGGATTTTGGCACAAAATGTTAACTTTTCACTTTTATTCACTTCCCTAATCCAGGAAGACATCAAGCGCGAGCAGTAGCTCCTGTAATCCCACCCGTTGGGTTTCTCCTCCCTCCCACGGAGAGCTTTTCCTCTGCGGAAAGACCTGCGCTTCCCGGGAGGCCAGGCACACCCCGTCAGGCAAGGCACGGCGGGCGGCGTCGCCCGACCCGCGTGGATGCTACAGTTTGAGGGGAAAAAAACCACAACAAAGCCCTAAAGACGGAAAACTAATTGCCGCGGCCTTATGCTGAGGCAGCAGCCTGTAACC